AAAAAAAAAAAAAAAAAAAAGAAAGAAAATGCAAACTTTTGAAGACTCGAGAGGATTAAGAAAGGAATTTGGCGATTTTCTTCACTTCGAAATTTTGAAGAAAATTTCCGCAAAATTGTTGCGGAACATAAAAATAAAAATTCGAACTGATCGAAGAGAATAAACGAAGCGAAAAGTTATTCAAAGAAAATTTCTCAATTCAAATTATTGAACATCCCGATTTGGTTTCGTCGTTGCCCAATGTTAAGTTTAATCCGCTCGACGGATTATTAATGGAAGGTGCAAGTTTCGGTTTAGATTTACTTCCGTGAAGGAGAGTGCCACGGATCACCGCTACATCTTTATAAATATACCTCGATCGCTTTAAATACAATTTCTATATCGAATCCGCGAACGACGAGAATAAGAGAAAACTATTCGTCGATGAGCTAATAATTCTGTTCGGATCGTTCGCAGATCTTCACTTTCGCAAAATTCAGAATTCTAAAAATCATCGAGGATCATCGTGGAATAATGTTCGATGAAACGAAGGGATCTCTGCGTTCATAACTGACGAAATCATCTGCATAAAATTGCTTCTCGCGAGCAAAGGATCCACGAAGGAAAAAAAAAAAAATATAATAAACGACCATTCTAAAAATAAAATCTGTTTCTTCCGCAAAAGCGATATTCCTGCAATTTGATATTTTAATATATTCCCCATTTTTTCGACGAAAAGAAAAGAAAAAATAAAAAAAGAAAAAGGGAGCAGTGTAACGAAGTAAGGCGAGTCCTTCGTGCGGTGTAATTTGTTACACGTGAAAAGCTATCCGCCATTTCGATGCATTAACCTACAGAGTCATTTATCTTCCGTTCAAGATACCACCGTGGATATGAAAAAAAAAAAAAAAAAAACAGATGAGAACACGGAATATTGCTACAACCAGACCATTTTTCTTTGACAATTTTAAAACATGCGAGTAAATCAGAACTTATTGCCCGAAATTTAATTTTCAGTCAAGCAATTCACAACGTATATACGCAACGCGTGAAACGATGTCTTATAAATAGTATACATATAGATAGCTACATTTATACTAGTCAAATAGTATATACAGATATATCCAAATTCAAGAGATTACGCATAGGAATATGCCGATAAAACGACTGAAAATATTCCATCGTGAATTATAGCGTCGCATGTTTCCAGAGAGACTGATCGCGAAAATAAATAAATTCCCGGCCGAACGAAATTATGCATGATGTTATTTCCTTGTTATTGCAATTGTCCCTTTTAACGAGTGAAAGTTAAATTTAATTCTCAATTGTGAACATCTTTAATCTTGAAGTATGAATATCGATGAAATTATAGAAAACGATAAACGCGATTATTTTCATTGATCTTTTCAGCCTGGTTATATTGTCCTACCGAATGAAATATTAAATCAACTCGAAAACAGTCAGTTTGTGTGTTAATTAAATAGATCAATAATAATAATATATGTGTACGATGAATGATAA